TGAGGCAGGACAGGAAGCCGGATTCACGAGTCACAGGAAGTCGGAAGTGATGTCATGCTGGACAAGAATCAGAGTCCGAATAACATTTTTTCATATTCGGACTCGAGTCCGAATAATCACTTCGGCTTCGGTCCTAAAATAACAAACCTTGTTTTCCCTTGGAGGCCATTCGTTAAAAGTAATTGGGAAGTAATAAGAGATGAACGGGCAACGGCTGAGTCACGTCAGGTGGAAAAACAAAGCAAAGAAGATAAGGTTAGAAGAAAGTTGCAACGGCGCAGCAACGCCTGTGATCCTCTGTCTAGGCCTATGGTCAAGTAGAACCGCCGGCTTACCGCCGCTTGTTTGGGTAGATGAAGGAAGAGGAAGAACTTGAACTTGAGGAAGGCGAAAAAAGGTGGATCGGAAGTACCTTGTAATAATAACTGATTTTAAGATATTGTCATAGGCTATTGGGCTAAAATAATGTGGTTATATTTTTATGTACCAAAAATAAATGTTCTTTTTCAAAATTTATTGATTGAATATTACTGAAAGATTTTAACAAATCCTAACCAGTATTCACAAGCGAAATAAACAAGAGAGATAACTCCCAAATTAAAAACGGTAGAAAGTCTGGTTCTCGTTAACTCAACTTGTAAACGATGTTCAGTGAAGGCCACATACTACCCTTGTATGTTTGCGCAGACACAGAACTTTGCTTGCTTAGCTAAGGCTGCTTGAGTAACAGGTATTGTAACAAGGTAACAGTGATAAGAATTTCCGTTACTACACCAGGTTTTTTAATACTATAGCGTCTGCTGCTTTTTGCTTTCAGAAGTTCAAAGATGAGATTGAGAGATTATTGCCCGCCTTCTTGCCTTCAGTCTTTAACAGCCGGAAGCCGTTGTAGCGATGTGAAAGAATGTGTGAAACTAAATCAGATCTAGATATCTAGATCTAGATTCTACCTGGTGCTAAAAAAGAATCTTCAAGAAAACCTGCAGTAAGGTTTCTGTTTTGATTACAGCCCTTTATAGGCTCTGATTCTGCATTATTTTTTGTAGTTCAGGGTACACTGTGGAGGATACAAAGACTGGTTAAAAACAAGCCACATTGCCATTATTTTGGTAGTTTGGCACCATAAATTGTCTCCCCTTCAGCAACTAAAATGGCTGCCATCAGGTGATGAAACAAATTTAACTGTGAAGCTCATGGCAAAATAAGTTTGGAAAATTCATGTCGGTCAAATTATGAATGAGTATGAGAATGTTTACCTTCTTGAGTTTTCAGTTCCTATCAAAATCTACAGTTAATGGTTCGTACCGATAGCTCTACAAGTATCGGGAGTCGGACTGAGGTCAGTTTACTGTTTCCCAAGTCGTGTTTGACTTTGACTAGACTCTAGATCTTGATCTAAATCTAGATCATTTGTTCCTGTAACTACGATGTTCCTCAAAAGCTTATTTATAATTTAATAATTGTAGGCGACCAGATCGTCATTTTATATAAATTTCTTTTGAATGAATAATGAAACTCAAATGAGATAAATCAGTGGTAATGGTATCTTTTCCAACATTGCCTTAGGCCTAAATCTTACACTCTTTTTTTTCTGGAAGTGGCTATCCTCAACCGGGGTGAGAATAAAAGCGATTGCCAGCGATGGCTATTCTCACCCGATGGGAAATAAGATCTGTTTTTCCTAATTTCGGAATACTGTCTATCGATGTTGATGATCAAATAGACAAAAACAAAGAAAAAATGACGTTATAAATCGACAGTAAGTTGAGTAAGCTAATTTGGTCGTCTACAAAGATGCTTTGGCTATTTTACTTTTCGAATCGAGCCGAACTACGCGGGTCGCCATTTTGTTTTGCCCGGAAGTTCTCGCAAGATCTACTCCTTCTCTCTCTCTCTCTCTCTCTCTCTCTCTCTCTCTCTCTCTCTCTCTGTTTCTTTCTGAATACTGTCTATCGCCGTATGATGCCGTATCGGTGTGGGCGATCAAATTGACAAAAATAAAGAGAAAAGGTGACGCTATAAATCAAAAGTAAGCTAATTTGGTCGTCTACAAAGATGCTATGGCTATTTCACTTTTCGAATCGAGCAGAACTTCGCGGGTCGCCATATTGTTTTGCTCCGAAGTTCTCGTAAGATCTACTCCTCTCTCTCTCTCTCTCTCTCTCTCTCTCTGTGTCTCTTTCTGAATATTGTCTATCGGTGTGGACGATCTAATTGACAAAAATAAAGATAAAAAGATGATGTTAAAACCCAAAAGTAAGATGCTACGGCTATTTAACTTTTCGAATCGAGCCGAACTACGCGGGTCGCCATTTTGTTTTGCCCGGAAGTTCTCGTGCTACTTCTCTTTCTCTCTTTCTCTCTCTCTCTCTTTCTCTCTCTCTCTCTCTCTCTTTCTCTCTCCCTGCCCTCAGACAAAATTGCACGCAAGAACGCTGGAACGTTTGCTCATGGCACAGAATTCTATTAAAAGAATTCTGTGGTTCACGGTTGATGCTACACTGGTGAAGGTGAAGGCACACCGGGTGAGAATAGCAAAAAGCTTTTTTTCCCGTTTCAATCTGGATGAAAATCTTCCATCTGTTCTGAGAATAGTAGATCAAGGATCCATACTATAGGACAGTTCGTCAAGTCAGATCTCTTCAGCAATGTAAACTCTTCTTTTGCAGCACATCTTTCCCAGAACACTGTGATGTTAATTCCAATCGCCTGCTAACTGCGTGTAGGTCTGGAAATCAGCCTGCACCAAGGCATAATTTTTTAATTGTTTTCTAGGTCTAGGTATAGTTTATGGGAATACCAATGGACAAAAATGAATTTTAAAATTGGCAACCAATCCGATTGGACACACTTTCAGGAAGTCAAGTAGCTGCACTTATACAAGGAAAGTGTTAGATTGGAACCCACATGGTAAAAGATAAAGGGGAAGACCACGTGGGACCTAGAGAAAAGTTACGGAAATGGATTACAGAAAAGTTGGAAAACATCAAGCGACTAGCCCAGTATAGAGAAAGGTGGAAAGTGCATGTTCGTGGCCTTTATCCTGCTCCAGGATGAGAAAGGCAATAATGAACCAATCCGAAGAAAGGCCAAACTTACAACTTGCAAGCGTAAGATGCCAACAGATTTCTGGAACCAGAGAAATTACAGTGTTTGTGTGATTTTCTTCCGGTTTTTTTAAATTCAGAGGAGCCACTGTTTTTGTCGTCAGTCAGGCAGGCGCTCCTCACATCTTCTTTTTGCTGTAAAATTTCAGATCCGTGTTTGTAGTATATTTTACGTTCCAGCTTAAAATTACCGCCCATCAAGCAATATTCATTACCACTGACAATGTACACAATCTCATGTAGATAGAATCGGCAGATGTATCAATGATATTAGTCTTTATTAAAAAATGGATGCTCAAGGACAAATTAAAATTAAATGAGGAAAAGACAAAAATATTATTTATTCGTAGTTGTGCTTGCAATGAAATCGACAATATCAGTATAAACATCAATGACCATGAAATATCACCCCAAACTAAAATTTAAATTTAAAAATTTAGGTGTAGTGCTCAATCAAGAATGTCAATGAAATCCAATGTATCCAATCTTTGTAAAGATCTATATCTCGAACTGAAGAAAATAGGGAGCATTAGAAAATATCTTGGGTGCATATATTATACCTCTGCGCAGCATTACTCTTGTCTTCAATTCTAAATAACATGAAAAATACTCTTTAGTCCTTTTCTTGAGGCATTTGGGATGAATATATGTACTTTTAATCTTATTGTGCAGCTTGACATATCTACTGGGGCTGCTGTTGGCTTGGGGTTTCCGAAAGAGCAGCTCCCCTTGCACCATCACTGAGATTGGTGTAGGGTCTTCGTGTGAAAGTAAAACAGTTGAACCAAGTAACAGTCTTATAAGTTAAGATGAGGAATAGCAGCCTATGCCTTAAGTTCATTCTGTAAATTATTTGGACTTGAAAATATTTCTATACTGATGTAAACCTTCTTAATTTAAAAAAAATTGGTAGTCTTTTCTGTGCTTCTTCAGCATACAGTTCTTTTCCATACAATCTTGTACTTGTAGTTTAAGTTGTATTATATTCATTGCTTCTGCAGGATATATTCACAGTTACTCCAACGGTTGCAAACATTTATAAGGACTGTGTCACCGCCCAAACGTATGCTCAGAAAATACTGTATTTTTATTAAAGTTTCTTTCATCTTTTTCCAGGTCCAGTCTACTATAATTTTTAGAGAGGATTTTGAACTGACTTTGATATGAAATGGAAGAAGACACTGATGGGGAGGTTTCAGCTCAATCACCAGGAATGGACAGTGCTGCAGCCCAAACCTTGGGTGAGGTTGGCTCTTCTAATGCTGTCAGTATAGAAGAGTCGGATCAAATCAAGGACTCTGATGGGACTAAGGAGACAACAACCAATGTGTTGGGTGCAGATGAAGTCACAAGGAATGAGCTCACGGTTAAGTCAACAGCTAATGAGCTTTGCTATGAAGAGAAAAACTCCCCAACCTCGAATGAAACGGAAAGCGAAAGTGTTGACCCTAAAAACCTAGAAAACAGTACTGGATCTCTTTTGTCCATTAGTGTGGAGACTGTTGTCAGTAAGAGTATTACCAATGATGGAAAACAAACTGATGATGCAGATCGTATTAATAGAATTTCAACATGCGAGGAGGTCACGGATGTGGATGACAGAGAACAAGGCCAGCTGATAATAGATTCTCCACCACTGTCTGCAGGAGAGGGAAGTAATGCCACTGACAAACATTCAGAGTCCTCGTCTGGTGGACAAAGTAACCACACTGTCTCCACAAGTGAATCTTCTTCTGCAAGAGGGAGTAGGAATGGCACTGAATCCCACTGTCCATCTGCATGTGCCAATGATAGTAATGAAGCTGTCGCCAAGTCTCAACAGGACTCCATAGCAACGGCCAATAATGCTGGGACTCCTTCCAATAATAATGCATCTCCAGCCACAGCTGCACAAAGAATATCACCTAGCCCTTCTACTCCAGCAAGGAAAAGAAGAGGTGAGCTGGCGTGTGGGGGCAGGGTTGTATCTGTGCTAAAGATACTTTTAACGTTTGGTATATTTATTCTTTTTCTGTTTAATCGAAATTGTCCATATCAGCTACCCATTGTTGAGGAGAAAAGTGGTTGTCTAAGAAAGGTGGATGTCTTAGGCAGTGCTGTTTTAATGTTTAAAAAAGCACAAGGGGGGAGTGAGATGTGGTCATTCGTACGTGTAATTGTCTTGGACAGGTGGCTTTAACTTTAAGAGCAGGTTAACTTGTGTTGAAACTAATAATCAGATATTTTATAGTATTTTATAACTGTTCTCTCTCTCTCTCTCTCTCTCTCTCTTTCTCTCTCTCTCTCTCTCTCTCTCTCTCTCTCTCTCTCTCCCTCTCTCTCTCTCTCTCTCAATATCTCTCTCCCTGGCTTACCAAATAATTATTTCATTATCCTTTCTCTTCAGGTACAAGGGCTGCTCAAGATGCTATGCTGTTGCCAGAGGATTTAGAACATTTGCGGAAGCCATTTAAATATGGTAAGTGTCATTGTGTCTGATTGGTTTGCAGTGGATCATAGTTCTGAGAACTTTTTTTTTTTTTGGCCATTGCATTGATTTTGTCAAAAAAGTGCTTTATCTATGGCAATCAAGGGCAACACAGTCCAGGATTTCTATACTTTTTAAAAATGTGTGACCTTGTCTGTACATACAATTGTTTTTCTCTCCAGCCAAAGTCACTTAACTGTTTATATCCGAGTTGGGTAAAGCCACTATGCCGGGGGCCTATTTTGGTTCAAAATCTAAATTTGACATTTACATAATTTGATAATTCTGTCAAAGCAAGTGAACCTATTTCGATAGTTCTTCATCTTATGACTGAAATTCCGGTGAAAGACTTGTTTTTGGCAATTGCCAAAAAGTAATTTTATGTCGAAGTCATCGTAAAAGAATGCACCTAAGCCACTGCCAGCGGCTCACCGGCACAGGTTTCCGACAGGGAGCGGTTGGGAGCAGCTTGCTGGAGATAAGGAGTTAAAACAGCCCCATGATGTTATAATTCTGAGGATCGAAGTTTCGGCCATACTCTGATTCAGAGTCCTGAAATTTAATCTGGAAATTGGTGTCCTGTAGCCACAACCTCCCATAAAAGCATAGATCTAGTTCTATTTTTAAACATGTTGATAAACTGATTGCAAAATGGATCCCCTGTTTAAATTGCTTTGTATGTTTAAACCTTTTAGTAGATAAAGTGGCACTAGAAGACGTTGAATCCTTCTGCTATCTTGGGAGTATAATTGGCAGAGAGAGGGGAACAGGTGCTGAAATAAAGTCCTGCATTGGAAAAGCTCAGGCTGCTTTCATTCACCACCAGACTTCAGTTTTGGAAAGTTGATACAGGAGAGCTTTATGATTTCTTTTGCTCTTGGATTTAAGGACAGTAGTAATAATGTGGTCTTTGTGGTAGAAAGAAGCTTATATTATATTACGCTGCCTTAGAGCACTTTTGGTACTCTGGTGTGTATTCATGTTTTAAGTTTTTCAAATACAAGATGTGTGTGACTTTTCACCTATATATGTGTTGAGAGAGGAGAAGAATGTCATGTTGGTGGTCAAATCTTCCATCTATTCTGTTTAGTAGGTTTATTAACTCAGTCAAAACCAATCCTTTTGATGTAACTCAATTCTAACGATGTTATCAGGATATTTTTAATAGTACCAGTCCCTAAATCATAGATACCTCAGGAGTGCCAAGTTTTGATAGAGAAAAAAATAGCAATTTTACCCTGTTGTACAAAGAAGGCTCATCAAAACTTTATTTCAGCTTGGAATTGTCTCCAATTTTGGAATCAAACTGAAAAATAAATGTTTTATGCAGTGGACGTTTTGAAACCCAGCAAGTTAATGAAATGCAACATGATTTTTTTATGACTGTCAAAGTTGGCACTGGTCTGCTAATTTATTGTCAAAAATGGCACTGAAAAGGTTAATGTTCATGCTCATGGACTTATTTGTGTTAAATGTGTTTTGAACTTCAGGTTGGAAGAGAGAATTGGTGTACAGAAATGCCACTGACAGCGGAGGGAACAGAATGTGCGATGTCTACTACTTTCCTCCAAAAGGCAGAAAATTGGTATGGCAAAGTCTTGTCTCAGTTTGTTTAAATACTTGCAAGACTTGCACAGTGCAGAAATATCTTCTCTCTGTAAATGCAGTTGTCTTTATAGATTTTGGGAGAGTGCCACCATTAAAGTGCACTGTTTTGGCATTATTGTGTCATGTCTTGCTTTTGTTGTAAATACAAAGCATAGTTTAAGAGGGAGAGATTTCATAGATTCATGCCTCAGTTCTCTGTGTACATGGCAGAAACCTTTTTTAAGTAAAGACTACTTTTACTTTTTGTATTATTATTTTCTCTTGTTGTTATCGGAATAGAAGACAGAGTTACTAATGTGTCATTGTCCCTGGGGTCTTTGTTTTGATTTATACATGCCAGCTTTGTGTGTAGAAATGTAAACAGGTATAATTCTCAATATATTTGGAGTACTGTCCTGATTTACTCTGTGTGTTGTCATGAATATAGGCAGTATTTGTGAAGTGCTTTGTTTTATATTCAAGTTGTAGCTTATTTTGGGGGGTTTAGTTTGTTTAGGAATGTATAGTTTTTTCACTTGTTTTGGGGGGGGGAGTTTTAGATTAGCAATTGATTTACCATGTGCTCTCTTTTTCAGAGATCTATGGTGGAAATTGGAACATTCCGTGAGTAATTTATACTTTCATCTCTTTATTGTCATAGCTCTCATCTTAAACTCATGACTTTTTAAGGGATTTAGTGAAACAAGGCATCATCAATGACGTGTGGACTGTTTTCTAAAACATTATTCAAAGTCATTCATCAACTCTTTGGTCTTAAAACTACTAAAGGAAAAATCTCACTGCTGACCTGTGCCTTGGGTTGCGTTCTTGATAGAGATGAAAATTGGAGAATACAAGCTGAGTTTTCAAGTTAGGTATCAAAAGTAATCTTCTCAAATGATTATACTCCGTTGTATTGACATGTACAAATGAATAATGTTCCCCTATTAATGTCTGCTTGAATTATTGTCTTGATTTAGTGTGCTGTTGAGAAGCTTGTTCTCAAGAACACCGTTATGTCTAAAATGTATGTGTACAAAATCTTATTACGAGAAAATTATAAAAGTTAATTGATTTTCTTTTCCCAGTGAGTAAAGACAAGGACAGCCCAGTCAATCTGACCAATTTTACGTTCAGAAAACTGGTTATGTTTGGGCCTCCAGATGAGGTTGTCCGGTCAGCAGGACAACCTAAAAATAGACCTGTCGAAGGTGCCGTGAAGAAGACACCAGCTCCGTCCAAGCCGCCAAGCATGCTTAAGAAGGCTTTGCTGCAGAGAATGCCTGTATCTCAAGTAAAAACTCCTGCGGGAATTAAGATTACTCCTACTGGGATTAGACATGGCCGGATTATTAGCAAACACGTGAAAACACCCGTCAGTGCGGCCAGAGATGCTGTAAAGGCTGCCATGAGAAATATGGTGCTGGCTCGGTCTAATTCAAATTCTGAAGGTGAAGCGGTAATGATTAGTTCCACCACAAGCACATCAGGTGATAGTACTACTGTCACAACAGGCCTACAGAACGTGATCATTTCTGCTCGTCCCAGCGGCGGTCATGTCAGGGTGCTTTCTGGGAGACCCAGAATCCGGCACCGGTCTCCTAACTGGGAGCCGTCAGACAGCTCGGCGTACTCAGATTCTGACGAGGGGGGCAATAAGGCTTCCGAGCACCGAGACGTGGAGATTATCAAAGAGGGCGTTTCTGCCGGCGACCCAACTCAGAATGATGAAGAGGATGATGTGAGCAGGGTTCTGGGTACTCCTTCTGCTCTCATTTCCTCAATTGTCAACCCACAACCTCAGAAACGCCCCCCAAGCACTGATAGTACTTCCCTTGCTTCTCAGGTGTCTGGAGCAGGGAAGATTAGGATTATCTCTGCAAGGAATCCGAGTGTTGTCAGTCCAGTCACAAGGTATTTTTACTGCTTTATTTTTTGCTTCTGTTTTCCTAGTTTCTTGGGCATGCGACAAATGTTTTGGGGTTGTTGTTTTATTTGGGGGGGGGGGGGGGGGGGGGGTTCTAGACAAATGTTATTGGGGGTTTTTTTTCTAGAACTTTGACATTTTACTGAAACTGGCATCATGTGAGCATGGAGAGGAAGGTTGCCTTTGTGACAAAATGCTCTTCTCCTGCACCTTACAGTTTAATTTTCTAAATATGTTTCTGATAGATGTTTTACTTCTATTGTGGTTGTCATTTATATGATTTCTATGTCATTATTTCAGCCCATCTCCCCATGTCCTGCCAGTGGCAAATGTGGTTGTTGGGTGCCCTCATGTGGTCAGCTTCTTGTAATTCTTTTCAGCATCACTCTTGTCTTAATCAGTAAATATAGCGTCATGTAGTCATTACTGTGCCAACTCATCATAAGCCACATTCTAACTCGGCTTTACAATGAAAGTACAGTTTCTGTGAGCACCATCGCCCATCTTCCCCACTTAACCTCCCAATGGAATGGCCATACATTGTCCATGACAACTACTCCCCACCCCCTTGTGACAATGACAGAAGCAGAACTGCAGTGGTAGGGCAGTAACAATGATGGGAGATCGTCGGATTCATGGTTGTGTGAGATTTCACAGAATGTTGTTCATTCTGTCCTGTAGACATTATCGCAGGGTTGGTCATTGCTGTACTATTCAAGCTAAGAAAACTCACAAAGCTCATGTGATCAGAATCTGTGGTGTAATGGTTAGGATTTTCACCTCATAATGCTCAGAAGATATGGGTTTGATTCCTATAGACTGAGAAAATGTTTTGTCAAGTATCTCCATCTTTATGCTGGGGTGTAGAATCCCACATCGACATGGCTTGCTTTAACAGATGGATTCAAAGTAGCTTGCCTCCTGTACAATCTAACACTAATTTGTGTCAATGGTTGTGTAAAACATTAACATTTGCAATTTATGAATTACATGACATAACAAATGATATTTTACTGTCTTACTTTTCTCCTCATTCCTCAAAGTATTCAGGGAACGCGGGTGATGTTTGTGAATGAGGAAGGCAAAAGGGTCGGTCGCAGAACATGCAGCGTAACTTGTCGACTCATGCCCGGTGTGAAGCCATCATTGGAGTGTCACTCATGCCACACTTTGTTCCACCACAAATGTGTGGGGATGTACAACTCCTCTTGGATGAAAGACAACTTTGTCTGCGCCGTGAGTCTCAGTGGTCTTTTTTTTTTTCCTTAGATATAATGTGTGAATGTCTTGGGTTTTTATTTGCCTCTATCTTTTACTGATTTTAGAGCTGCTGCATGGTTTCTGTATGGGTAGTTGGTGGACTACTTTTCTGGGTTCCATGTTGCTATTGTCCTTGTCTGTTCCCTGTGGAAATTTGGTTGTTGACTGTGTTAGAAAATATGTTATACTTTTTCACAAAACAGTTTCCTAAGATCCTGTATGATATATCACATTTATCCTCATTTGTCCTCAAAGCAGTTTTTGACTGCTGTATTACTGGGCCAAATTATGTTTCTCTGTGTCATCTTAGATAACCATCTGTGACTTTGTATGGTGCAAAAAATTGCATCACAGCACAAATCAAAACACTAAAATAGCGAATCGTTGATGGGCATTCTGTTGTGGTCTGCACCTTGTTCTTTCAGTCTTCCTTTCATGTATGTGTTCTTAAAAGAATGTTGCTTTTTTTTTTATTTACCCTGTGTAAACTTTAGCATCTTCTGTAAAAAATCATTTAGCTTGTGTGTTGGTTTCTTTTATCTTTCTAGCAGAGCCACAATGGGCTAATTTTTTTTCCTATAATTGTGATGATGACATGCTATTAATGTCTTCCTCAGACCTGTAAATTAGTATCAAACACCGTGCTGCACATAAGACCGCCTGGTCCAACTGTAGTGACCAGTGCGTTGCGGTCACTCCTCACCCCATCAGGTCAACCTCTGCCATCTTCATACAGGCCCGAGAGCCAGGCTGCTGTTCCAAGTGTTGACAGCCTGAATGCTACCTCTCCAGCTTGCCCTATTCTCCTCACAATACCTCCTCCTCCTCCCCTGGCATCCCGGCCTCAGTTCCTTAAGACAAACGTCCAAAACATTTCTCATCGTGCACCTGCTCTACCCTTCCTGTTACCCAAGGGGCAGCCGGTGATGCCCCCACCACCACCACTATTAGTGGCTTCCCCTGGTCTTATTGCCCAACCACACCCCAGTGCTCTCACTGGACACATTCCCGTTGTTAGCCTGCCTCCAGCCCTCAAACCCTCCCCTTCCATTCGCCCCCCTCTGAGGTTTAGGCCCTTCCAAGGACAAAGTGTGCAAATCAATTCAGCAGGTAAAACACATGTTGAACATTCTGAAACTGTCAAAGTGGATGGTACCAAAGATGGTGAGGATACATCTCCTGCCCCTGTGACAACTGTGAGAGTGTCTTCGCCCTCTGTGTCAATGGATGACTCTTTACCTGTTTCCTTCAGAGCCCAGGGTATGGAAGAAAGTGATTCTGACTCATCTGAAGATATTTCACCCCCTGCAGGCAACATTCCAATAGTCAGGACTCAGAAGATTGTGAAAACTGGTGTAATAGCCAAGCTGACTACAACTACAGTTGTGACACCATCTGAGAGTGGACACGGCACTAACTCAATCTCCTCCAGCTCCGGGATGGTCTGTGAAGCATCTGCAGATGTGAGCACGTCCCAGTGTACCACATTGCATCTGCTCACACTTCCAAAGTCCGTTGCCTCAAATGTGGACCTCAGTCAGACCTTGAAACTCTCCATCAATGATGCAGACCTTTTTGTGTCACCCGAGCGTATTATTTCAGAGAAGGAACATGTCAAACTGCTTCTTCCACCCGGTGCTGCGCCTGTGCTCGCTGACAAAACCTCTCACTTTGGCGTGTTTGTCAGTAATGTGCCACCACCAGTGGACTCAACTGCTCCCTGTCACCTTCCAAGACAAACACCAACCCGATACCTGCAGTCCTTCAGAATGCTTCAGTCTAGTTACGAAATTATGATGAACATCTACAGTCATTTATCCACTGCTCAGCTTTTGAGGTAAGGGATCTGTTTTCACCTTTTAGCGTTGTGTGAGGATCGAAGGAAATAAAAAAATAGGCAAGGAAATTAAATCCTTTAGTAAATCGTAAGTTATAAAGTGCTTATCTGGATACAGAAATAGTACTTAATGAATACTCAGTGGTGAGATGAAAAAATGACTCGAGTTTTAGCCTTTCATAGTGAAAGCTTTCTGTATGATAAGTCTATGTTTTAGGTCTTACCAGGTTATCACTCCTACTATTCTGATATATTTTTGCTCAATGCCTGCATCCTCATGAGAGCTGTACTGGTTTACGTTCCCAAAGTGTCATGTCCTTCAATATAAACCAATATTTCCAGTGTTTAAAGCGGTCCGCTGGCTGCCAGACTCACCACTGTTAGATAGCTAGTTCAGGTCCCAGGCTTGGCATGACATTGCGTCCCTAGAAAAGACAGGTTACACAAATTTTACTCTTTGCCTCGACAGGAATGTGTAACCAGCTTAGTGACAAGTTTTGTCAATTTGCTTGTGTTTGAGCAACTGTAAAGTGGGCAGCTTGCACTGAATTCTTTCCAAGAATGTTATCAGGTCTGGTGGGGCAACATTGGAATGTGAAGGGTAGGCAGGGTTGGTGATTTTTTTGATTTTTTAAATAAAAATTTTAAAAATCGATTTTTAAAATTTAAATCAAGATTTTTTAAATTTAAATCGGATTTTTTTTTTTTTATTTAAAATGTCGACACAGTTTGGGATTTTTGGTTGCTAAAAGTATGTTCTTTTAGTGCAAAATGCATTGGTCTTTATTTTAACTAATGATTAATTTAAGCAACCGCAAAAGAAAGCCTTAATCTGCTATATATATGAGTATATATATATATATATATATATATCAGTGAATTATGGCTACAGACAAAAAATGAAGAAAATGTCAGTCTAAAAGGAAGGGGAGGGGGGGGGGTAATTGTGCATGGATAAACTTGCATTTTATTACAGTGTGTGTGTGTGTGTGCGCGCGCACTTGTGTTTGTCTAAAAAGAAAATGTAAAATTTCAATTATGAAAAAAAAAGTAAATTGAATACTGTATTATTTTACAGTAACAGGAGGGAAAGCAGACTTTTAAGCATGATTAAATTAGTCTACTAAACCTTATACTGTTTTATAAAACCAAGGAAAGGAATTCTGAATGTTTAAAGATGTAAAAACAGAATACATTTTTTTAAAGTGATTTAAATCACTGAGTTTTATTTTTAAAATCAAGTTGATTAAAAATTTTAAAAATCAACTGATTTAAATCAACCCAGCTCTGATTTCAATTATGGAAAAAAAAGTAAATTGAATACTGTATTATTTTACAATGAAAGGAGGGAAAGCAGACTTTTAAGCATGATTATATTAGTCTACTTAACCTTATATCTGTTTTATGAAACCAAGGACAGGAATTCTGAATGTTGAAATATGTAAAAACTGAATAAAAATAATTTTTTTTTTAAAGTGATTTAAATCACTGATTTTTATTTAAAAAATAAAGTTGATTTAAATTTAAAAAATCAACTGATTTAAATCAACCCAACCCTGAGGGTAGGCATAGGGCTAATTTCCAAGTAACGGTTTGTTTTTTATAAAGGTAGACCATATCATTTTTATATGAAAGTGCTCTAATGGACAACCTTCCAACCCTATTCTTTTTATACTACCAAGTGTCATCTCTGTATTTGACCGTGATTTTAAGTATTAATTAAGAATTTAAAACTTCAACATGTTTTGGGGGCTCTCGTGGCCTAGAGGTTAAGGTGTTGGCCTCTCATTCAAAGGTCCCGGGTTCGAATCCGGGTAGCGACCGAAAAATTTTCTTCTCTAAAATTGTCTCCTTTCACCTCCTTTCCTGCTCTCTAGCAATGTTCTGTTGTCTGCTTTCATTTCCACTTTCTGCCCCCACCCCCTCACCTCCTTTGCCCCCTCCTCTGGGCTCCTGACTCTTTCTGCAGCCTTTCTACTGCTACTCCTTGGCTCCTCCTTACTGCTGTCTTTCTGCCACACCCCTGATCTTCTGGTAGGAAAGATCTACACCTAGCCTTCTCGGACAAGGGCGAAAAATCTCGGAGGGCCCGTGTGCAAGTTGCGCACGTTAAAGATCCCTTGGTGGTCTAAAATCGATAAGAGTAGGCTTCGGCCGCCACCCGGGTAAAATTCAAAATTTCCTACCAACTGAAAATATTAGGAGTGTCCCGTGCGCTCACATGACCTATGCAGTTGCGAGCGCCTTAAAACACTATACAAAAACAAAAAACAAACAACATGTTTTTCATGATGACCTACTTTGCTGTATAGATAATTAGTGTCTGGCATTGTCATATTCTCTGCAGTCAGTGAAATAGAGATTGGTGTTTGTTTGTTTCTTTCCCTTCATTTTTTTCCTTTTTTTTTTTGCAGGGTGAGAATCGTATGCAAGTTGTGGAACACTATGGCCATGCAGCCATGTCTGGTATGTGCTTTGCTACTATCATTCCATGAATTCAATAAATGTTGTCACTGTCAGATTTGCTGTCTTATAAAAGATTGGCGAAATATAAGAAATAAGTCAAAAAAATATTGAGATTGAGTTGAAAATCAGGGAATACTGTAGCCTGGTAGAGAATCTCTTTGACCTTTTGTCTTATATATGCTGTATTTTTTCTTACAAAGGTAAACATCTCTCTGTCTCACCCGAAAAAAAATAAAATCAGCCTTTGCAAATATTTTGCTCTTCTTTTATATGACAGCAAAAATATGAGACGGAGCTTAAATTATGGTAAACGTTTTCATCAGCACCAGATCTTTTGTCTCTCTCTTTCTCTCTATCTGTGTCTCTCTTTTAATGTCAAGTATGTTTTAATACTGAGACATATATATATATATATTTATATATGTGAAACGTGCTGACAAAATGAGTTACTTCTCAGATTTTAGCCCGATGGAAATAGAAACATCAAATTTTTAGATTGAAGTTTTACAATTTATCAGTATGAAATGATAAAAGACATGTTAAACTTGAAGAGAATGACATTGGTTAAGAGTCTACTTATATGACCTTTGTGTTGATTTTTGGCTGATATCTCCATTCATGGATTGCGAGAAGTAACTCATTTTGTTAGCACGCCTCACATATATACATATATATATACAATCTAAGTTCCTGGGGGAAAGCTGCCATCTTCAATATGGTGCTGAGAGATTCTCAATACTAAGGACAACACATTCACAAAACATGCCTATCAATCAATTTAAACAGTGAAAGCACCCCCCGGGGCGGTGCCACTGATTGTAGTGTCTTTAGCCCATTCCCAAATTGGGGACATTTCTCGTTCAAGCATAGTAGAATTGTAAATAGGCTGACTCATGTCACGCTCATAACTGTGCCTGACCTACAACAAGGAACTGCTGCTTTTTCTTTCCTGGTCCCTACTATTGTTATTTTCCTCTACTTCTTTTGTATGTTGGTCACTCTCTTGTGACCTGCTATTTCCGGGGTGCCTTGATAGTCGAAGCAGACCTTGTGCTGTTGAAGCTAGAGAGGTGAGCAGTCAGAGTCTGATTCCCTGTAAAGACTTCTCTGTTGACACCCAACCCTTGGCGTTCATATGACTTTATACAGTTGCGAGCGCCGTAAAACCCTCTAATATTTTTTTTTAAAAACAGTGAAAGGTATTGATGCTCAGTTCAACTGTAAATACTCACATACCGTGTAACTATTGTCTGTCCCCGTCGTTTTATGTCAGAAAAATTCTGAAATTATGCGATTCTGTTAATTATAACAAAGAATGATAAAGGAAAATAATCAGAAATTTTAAAAAAAAAAGATCAAATTTTGCTAAATTATGCATGGTGCATAAAACCACGGGGACAGAACTATATTTTGCATGCTTTGTGGGAGGGAGAAGCAAAACCATAGGCTGCCTGTCTCCTGTGTATAGAGCAGCTCTATGTTGCTCCCTTTCTTCACATCACTTTCCTCTCTCTTTTTTCTCCTTATTACTTACATTTTCTTATTTACTTACTACTTACATTCCAACCCTTTTATTTCTGGTGTCATTGAATAGTATTTTTTATTCTGAACATATCTCTTATGCAGTTGCGAGCACCATAAAACCCCATACTAAACTAAACTGAACATATCTATATATACCTTACATAGAGGTTTTATCGAATTTAGATATTTTTTAATTAACAATTTGTGAGACCTCCTTTGAGGCCACAAAGCGGTCACAAATTATTTGCGTCCGGAGTCAAAATGATCTGCGGTCTGAATCAGTTATGGCTAAACATACTATCATTTACTGTTGCATATTCTCTCCACAGTGGAAAAGAGTTCGCCTGCAAAATGTTCTCATAACTGACTGGGAATCTGCTTGCAGATTTTTCATCAGAGCTGGAGTTAAAAAGCTTGTAAGTTTATTTGTTACCAATTATGTTCTCTCTCTCTCTCTCTCTCTCTCTCTCTCTCTCTCTCTCTCTCTCTCTCTTTCTCTCCTTCCCATGAATGTTTTGAAATAGTAACTGATGCTTGCTGAACAATTTTGTTTTGCTGGCAAGCCAGAGCAGCATGACTGAAAATATCACACAATAACATGCCACCACACATCATGGATGCCGTTATCCATGATATATCGTAGCTGATTTGGTCATACTTGTTTGTCATGCGAGGGTTTTTGTGAAAATTTAGCTCTTTGTTTTTGTTGTGGTTTTTTTTAATTCTACATGGTGGAGTTGCATATAATTTTAGTCCATGTGAGAGCAAACTAAACTAGAAAATGAATAAAAGCACAATTTTTCAGAAAAGTTTGGACAATTCTTCAGTAGTGCACTACTGTCTTTATAAACAAGCACTTCAGGGGTATAAGAATTGGTTAAATTTTTGGTAAACTACTTTTGATCAAGAAAAAATCCACAAAAGTCATGTAAATTCGAAGTGGGTCAGGCTCAAGATTGACTGAAGGATGGCTTTATCATGCTCCAGCTCATTAAAAAAAAAGAGTGCAACTTGTTCGGTATTTAATAATTTTTACTGGCTTATACTTTCAGAGTTTACAGGGCTTTAGTTTCCCGAATGGGGAATTTCCTGACCAGAGCAACAGCCCAACATGGGAAGCGATCAAAAGGAATTTGCCGCTGGTAAAGAACCTGGAAGAACTGCTCTTTGGTTGTGTCCCGCCGGAGGTTCTTCATTCAATGACAGAGAAGATGCCAAACCTTCTGAATATTAGTGCCGACTCGATCTGTGACACAAGCGTTTCTGGGTAATTAAGAATGGAATGGGGACCTCTTGTAATGTCTGTGCATCCTCATTTAGTTTCTGTGTTTCTTGTGTCATAATTTGGCAGGAGTGAAATTTAAATTAAATTTTTAGTTATTTATTTTTTAATCTTGCCGGAAATGTGGGAAGATCTGAACTTTTTAGTTTGATGAATGACGGGTCGTGTTTGAGCTAATGTGCATCCGTCTTTTCTTTCTAGGTCAGTTTTTGGTGGGCAGTATGGTGGGGTGTGCGCGTACTGCATAATTTCAGTGGTGCTTTTGTTATAGATTTTCCTTGCAAATATGACAGTCGTTGTCTGGACTTTTCACAGATTGTTTCTTACATTTTGTTATGTGCTTGCTAAACAGTAAGCTCTTGAAACTTGTAGACAAGTAGGGGCCAGGGTGAAGAATCAAGTGATCTGTGTCTGACAGCTACTTTTTTTTTGGCATGAAGCAGGCGGGTAACACGTCTATCCAGAAGCAGCCTGTTTTTGGACGTTTCTTTGTTTATATTCCATTTCTAGAAGCTTCGCATCTTGAGAAACATATCTCCTTTTGATTTTGGTGTCATCCAACAGAGGATCAACCAACAGAGAAAAACAAGGTTGTGGATTGGTTGAAGGTTTACTTATCTTATTTCTTACTGCCTTACTGGCTATAGTTTAAAGATTGTACTATTGTGATGAGTTGTATGCATGTAGTCTGGAAAATCAAGTTTACAGAGTAGCACAATATAACAATTTATGTCTTGGTTTTGCAGGGTTTACTCAGTGCCCAACACTGGCCAGGCTGTGGAGATGATGATGAAAGCAGTTCATGCCGTCGAGCATTGCGCCATGTCTTGTCGGACAGCAGCCATGTTGTTCAAAGTTTCTGAAACAGACCTGTTGCACATGGTGAAAAAAGAGGAGGTGCGACTCACGGAAGAGGAGGAGAAAACCCTGCTTCTTTACCTCATGCGCCTGAGCGGGATGGGTTTCTGTGTTTCCCTCAAACTGCTACGGATAGCGTGCAAAGAAATTTTGTCGCGACGCAACTCCACTGCTGTCCTTCCAGAGGTATCTTCGTCGTACACCTCAGAACTGTTTCAGCGCAGCCAGCACTTCTTTCATAACTCCTACTCTGCCGCCAGCTTGCATGCTCAGGTCAAGTCACATTTTGCCAAGCTGCAGGAGCTCTACAGAGACATGGACATATCGTTCAAGCCTGAGAACATGTTGTTTTTCTCCACCATAAACATCGAGATGCCAACCAGCGAGGGAGACAGCAGCTCCATGGTAACCGCCATGGCCACCATGACACGGTCAGACCTCAGCCTGCCCGTCATGCTAGTGTGGAGCGACCCGCACCATCCCCCCTCCGACTCGTCGAACCTGGTGATGGCGTCAGCTGAGGCCAGTCAGCCAACGCCCGCCCTCGTGTTCCGTTACTTGCAGCTGGTCATCAGCCGCATGAAGGAGCGGCCCCTGTTGCTAGTCTTCGGAGGCCACTCTCCGGCTCTGAGTGAGAAACTGGTCAGTTTCTGCGCCTCTGAGAATGTCACCTTTTACTGTGTTCCCCAAGACGCAGCCAGGTTAGTTGACTGTTTCTTTTTGCATGCACACATAGGCACACACACCTGGGCACACGCGCACGCGTACACATACAAACTCACACTCTTACACATACATACACACACGGACTCACACACTCACACACACACACATACGGACTCATGCACACACAGGGACTCACACACACATTCACACAGGGACTCGCTCACTCACACAGGGACTCACACACACATTCACACACACACACACACTCGCACACACTAATTTGAAGTCGGTCCTTGAGCAGAGCAAGACCTAGCTTAAAGGAAAAATGCTCAGCAGCCACTGGCAGTTGTGTCATTGAGATGGTATTGTGCAAGTTTACATGATTTACCTAACGTATTACCTGTTCGTTGTTTTCTAATTTTACACATCACATAGTAATACAGTAAAGGCCTTTTTCTTTTGTTTGTTTGTTTGTTATTTTTATCCTTTAGTATGTCTGATCATTAAGACACCCAAAGCATTTGTCCATCAGCATTTTACAGCCTGCTCTATACGCAGACTTTTTAGACATCTTGTATCTTCATATTTTTGTGTGTGTGATTGATCTTGTTCTTTTCTGTTTCTAGTCTGTTATCTCGCTTACTTGATGCTGACTTTTTTTCTATAGTATATCCTTTAAAAACTTGTTCTTTTGTAACTCGTGAAAGTTTTGAGTTTACTTGTGGAGAAGCCCAGCATATATAGGACCTGGTGAAAGTAGTAAAAAAGTGTTTGTAAGTGGGTGGTTAGTGGATGCTCCAGTGTAATTTTCTCCTTCCTTTCTATCAAACATCTATCGTCCTTATCTCCTACTTCTTTTTTACCCCCTCGGGCAGTGCTACTGACTGAAGTGTCTTCAGGCCATTCCCAAAGGGGGGACAGTAACCGTTAGTAACCTGTTCTTATGCACAGTAGAATTGTAAATGGGCTGATTCATCAATGTCATGTTCATATCTGTGCCTGAACTGCAACAGGGAAGGGCTGCTTTTTCTTTCCTAATCCTTACTATCGTCATTTTCCTCTACTTCTTTTGTATGTTTGTTACACTCTTGTGACCTGCTTTTTCCGAGGTGCCTTGATTGTCGAAGCAGACTTTGGGCTGTTGAAGCTAGAGAGGTGAGCAGAGTAAGTGTGATTCACTGTAAGGACTTCTCTGTTGACATCCACCCCTTGGCCCTCATATGACCTTATGCAGTTGCGAGCACCGAAAAACCTCTGCTAAAACCCCAAAAAAAACTTCTTTTTTTGTGTTTGTTTCTCTCTTGTAACACCTCTAATCTTCGGCACTTATATGACCTTATTGTGTTGCAAGTGCCGTAAAACACTTACTAAAACTAAAATAAAACTGACCTTATTGTGTAGCAAACTCTTGCTAAAACAAAAGAGCATTTGTAAGACATTATAGTGGGAGTGGTAGAAAGTGTCTGTGGCAAATTATATACTTTAAAACAAGTTTTTGAGAAGGAGGCTGCTGAACTGTACTTTTTCTTTGCTATTCCTCTACCTTTCAGTCCGTCGGTCTCACTTTTGCCCTTGCATTAAGTTACTCTTACTGTGTCAATATGCCTGCCGTGTCTTTCTGACTCAAAGAAGTGTATGCACTGATTACTAGTGCAGACAAGTGACAGGTCAGCTGTTGTGATGTCATTCTCGATGTTTTTAAGTTATATTACTGTCATTGTGACAGAGTACAGAATTAAGGGGGTATACATGTGAGCATGCTTCCTGATAAGCTTGCCTTTTCCCCAGCATTTTCAGCATTGATATATAGCTTGATAATGTGTGTGTAATTTTATTTTGGATCTTTTTGGGCTTTGAAGCAGACGATCTTGGTTCAAATCCCCAACAGGGCATTCTTGAACTTTGGTTGTTTAGGGAGTTTACAAGGATAGACACTCAATTCGGATGTCCCACCTTGTCAGTCACCTCTCAGTGTATGAAAGGGATGTTAAAACAATACCACACCAAACATATGTCAGCTTTAGTTAAGATTACAACAGATTCGGGTGGTAGGAGGGCACTACTGGTTATTCTTTCTTCTTTTCTTTCCCTTCTGTTGTTTCGTCGTCTCTGACTTTCCCTTCCTAAATGATTGTTATCATTTTGTGGTGATTCTCCTTACTCACGCAGGTGCCTACAGGTGTACCAGAGCTTGGCTGAAAAAAAAAATTGAAGTCGTTTTTACAAGATCTAAGATCATCTGACCTGAATGTGTTGTTCCTCTTGTCTGTTCTCAGATACGTGTTCCCACCACTGCTTGGAGGACCCCTGTTCCTTTTGAAAGAAGAGCTTGAGTCGGTGTCACTGACACTCACCCCAGAACGTTTTATATCTCGGCTGAAGCATCAGATGTGGTCGCCGGCCAGCGTGAGGAAATACAGCATCATGAGAGCCTTCACCGTCACTGGATTCTACCCGGTCAACCCGAAAGCATTGAAGAAATACCAAGAGGTTGGAAAACTGAGCGCGTCACGGGATGAAGACATGGACGATGAAGGGGAGAACGGGTCTGATGTTGATTCCATTCAGAGTGTCAGTAGCGGTTCAGTTCATTCTGACGCAGAGATGATTTCTGATCAGGAGGAACAGGATACGGCTAAGCAGGAGGACACTGAATCTTCAAAAGAGGGACCGCCAAGCGCAGCTTCAGCATTACCTGAAGAGTCAAACAAAGAGAGTCAACACTCGACTGTTGATTCTGAAAAGGAAAGGGATAGTGTTATTTCGGTTCCCTATGGAGAGCCATCAGGGAAAGAGAAAATTGACTCTTGTGTTGACAAAGACAGTGTAGTAGGCGAGATTCTTTCTGGTGGAGAGAAGACGGAAGGAGAAGTTCATTCGAAACAGGAAATGAGCAAAGTTGTGAATGAACTTAGTGAGGAGAGAAAAGAAGTTGTTGAAAAGCCTCCAGCAGCTGATTTATCTAGCGATGATGACCTGTCAGATGCAGGTATGGTTATTGATGAATCTGCAGATGAGAACGGCAACATTAGTGCCGAGTCGGAGGATGAAGATGAAAAGGAAGGCAGCAAGCATGGAGTGAAAAGTAATAAGGGTAAGTTAGTGGTTCAGATTTTCCGCCCCAACTTGCTACAGCGTAAGGGTCCAACAAAGACAATGGACAGTGCAATGATTGAAAGAGTAGAGAATACAATAAACTCTGTGGTTACTGCCAGCAGAGAAATGTATGATCTGAAGTCTGTGCTGAAAGTGAAAAGAAATGACCTTCAGAAAGTGGCTATCAAAGGGAATTCTGTTTCTGAGAAAGAACTAGACAGTTACTCCGCAACAATAAATGAAGTTGCCAAAGCAGAAGAGAGTGCAGAAGAGGCTAAAGAATTGTCCCATCAACATAACAGAAGATCCATGGAGGAGGAAGAAGCTGAAGAAGAGCTAGAGGAATCTGATGATGAAAGTCTAGAGAAAAGCATAGATGCAGAAATGGATGATAGTAATGATAAAGATGTGGGTGGTGATGGTAGTGTTCATACTGATGAGAATGATGAGGCTGAGGTCTCAGAGAAACCGGAGGAAAGTGAAGATGCACCTTCTGAGGATGAGGACTCTACTGAAAAGAGGAAAAGAAAGAAGAGGAAGAAGTCTCGGAAAAAGAAAAGAAAGTCCCATTCACAGAAGAGTGAGAGTGAGAAATATCAAAATGATACTGATGATATTGTTCATGAGAGTCCTGGTATTACCCATAGTGAAAAGAAAAAGAAGAAGAAGAAAAAGAAAAAGCGTTCAAAGAATGAGAAAAAGACTTCTGTTTCGGAAAATATTGATGCTGATGTGCCCACAGACTCTGTACCGCAGGACGCAACAGCACTAGATACACTTGCAGAAGTCTGTGATACTGTACCAGTTGAGCATAAAGAGGCTGAAGCTGATATGGAGGTAAAGGAGGATTTACTAGAAGAGCCAAAGATTCATCTTGTTGACCATGACTATGCGAGATTACCGGGGATGAGTTTTGTAAATGCAGCCGAAACCTCCTCTATAAAACTTAATGAAGATGGAGGCTGCTCAGAAGAAATACAAGGTGTGGAGACAAGGGACTCAACTCAGAAAGAGTATATGGGGACAGGGAGCGAAGAGGTTGAGAACTCACTTGTAGAAAAGGAAGAGTCAGAACAGCGACCTGTTGAAGATGTAAGTAATTCTGAAGATCATATAGAAAAGGAAAGTGGTGATGAGGACGACAATAAAGAGACGGAAGCTAGTTCAGTGGATAGCAGCAGCAGCAGCAGTAGTAGCTCTGACTCCAGCAGTGACAGCAGCCGCAGCAGCAGTGATGAAGCGTCGTCTCATAGTGATAATGACTCTGACGATGATTCAGGCAGTGAAAAAGAAGGCTCCAGCTCTCCTTCTGCTAAACGGGACAAAGGCGATGACCTGAAATCGGGGTCAGATGTCAAAAGGAGGGCCTCGGAGTCACCAGTTTCAGCAGAAGAGTCCTCTGATGAAGAAGAAAGTGACAGTGGAGAGGAGGTGGGGGAGGAGGAGGAGAGTGAAGAAGAGAAAGATGGAAGTTCTGATTCAAATGGAGGGAATGGGGAAGATGTTGCGGAGGAGGAGGATGATGAGGAGGGCGATGAAGACGATGATTCCAAGTGTCAGCTGTGTATGCGTACGAGTCCACCGCACTCCAAAGACATGATAATAGACTGGGTGGACTGTGATGGCAACTGTGGTCGCTGGTTCCATGTGATCTGTATTCTCAGGTCAAAAGCTAAAGCAAATCCAAAGCATTATGTGTGTCCTTCCTGCCGGTGTAAAAGATAACCGTCGTCAATGCTTCCTTTCCCCTACCCACCACTTTGGGGTTGGGGGTTGTTGTTTTGGGTTTTTTTTGGGGGGGGGTCGTTTTTTTTAATCTGTTTGACCCTTTGTGTGTGTGTGAGAGAGAGAGCGCATATGTATACTTCTGCTGTACAGCAGTCTCCACTTTGCATTTGGCCGGAGGGTGCCACTAGTAGTTCCTGTTTCTTTACTACTTTCCTCACCTCTGTTGACCTGTTTGTCAAATCTGTTCCAACACTAAAACATTAAATAACTAGTATTGTGATGTGATGCTCCCCTCTCATCTGCGCTTCTTGCTGTGTTGATGGTTGGCCTCTTCATTCCGTCAGTTTTACATATATATCTCCCCCTGCACTCTCTCTACTTACTGGCAGTACCAAAAGTAGCTAAGAGGAAATAAGATTTTTTTCCTTCTTGTAGCTGGGTTGAGGTCCTTACACTTTGCAATCGGAACTTCATCCTTGATATGTCCTACCCATTGCTGTTCTAAAATGAATTTGTTATGCATAAAACATAACATCAAAATTATAAACCAATTTGTTTTACCAAAAGATATTTTTATACAACTAGCTCACAGAAAGAAGTCTAGGATATATGAGAGCTTTTCCCAATAGGTGGGTACCTAAAATATAGCTCAGAGGGTTAATGATAGAGTTTTTAATATTTCGTTTTTACTTGAATTTTTCTATTCATGTTTCCTCCTACATAAACATGTATTAACAGACCTACAGATTGCGTGTGGTTGGCGGGTATTCTTGTGTGGTTTGCTCCTTTTTTCCTTTCAAACATCTATTGTCCTTATCTCCCCTCCTTCTATTTTGTGTTTGTTACTCCCTTGTAACACCTCTAATCTTCGGCACTTATAATGACCTTATTGTGTTGCAAGTTCCGTAAAACAATTACTAAAACTAAAAGACCTACAGATAGCATGCTAAGCTGTGTAACTGGCATTGCATAACATCAAGTCCAATTTTTTCGGACATAACTGTGATGACACGTTTTTTTACAATTTCAACGTACAAAATTATTTTAAGTTTTGTTATTGCTTTAATTTTCAAACTTAGCCATGAAGAGCATATAAAATGGTGAGGATCACAAGAAAAAAGAAATTCAGAATACCATTATGTTTGCATTTGTGTCATCATAGTTATGTCCGGAAGAAATGAAAAACTTTCCATTTTCATATCTTAAATTCTTTTACGAAAATTTGAGAAAACAACGATTTAGAAGATTCCATTTGATTCACAATGCATGTTAATGATGAAAGAATGCCACTTTATTCACATTTTATTATGAATCTCTGCAAAATACCAAATATCTTTCGAACATAACCATGATGACGCAAAATGAAAAATACCCCGAAAAGTAATTTATATAATTTATGGAACATAAAATTATTTTTATAGTTTTCTCATTGCTGTAATTTTCAAATCTAAGCCTGAAGAGCATATAAAATCACAGAAAAATTAATTATGAATGTCTTTGTGTTAGCATTATGTCATCATAGTTATGTCCGAAAGAAATGGACAACCTTCTATTTTCATATTTTAATTCATTTGTTGAAAATTTTGGCAAAAAAAGATACAGGAGAATCCGTTTGACTCATAAATCATGCTAATGGTGACAAAATGCCGCTTAATTCACATTTTACTATGACTATGCAAAATACCAAATATCTTTCGAACATAACCACGGTGACACATAATAGATAAATGTTTGTCGTCATTTTGGAACATATCATCAATTTGCATTAAAATTTTCCCCTCTGCTTAACATCTAGCCAAGCGTGCGTGGTTGCATCTAGATCTACCACTACTTGACCATTGGAAGGCAGTGCGATGTTAAATTTAATTAAATAGGGGGAAACATTTTTCGAACATAACAGCTTTTTTCGAACATAACATTAACATGTTAAGATTTGATGATGACGTAAGAAAACTTAAATGAATTCATCTCATCCATCATTATTCTTCTCGCCGTCTTGCATGGCACAACAATGCGCTTTGAATGGACCGACAGGAACAATGCTCTTTCCTCCTCCCCTATTATTTCTCGCTTTCTGATTGGTTCTTTCGAGCAGAACAAAAGACAGAGCACGAGGCGGCGCAGGATTTCCTTTACTGCAAAAATTACGCACAGTCACAGCCTCAGAATCAGTTAGGGCAGAGAGTAAACATTGAACGATGTCTGTTCCAGGGCCCCAAAATGCCCAATAGAAACAAAGTCACGAGGAATCGAGGTTGCCTTGTGAAATGACTACACAAGTTATGCTCGAAAATGAAAATCAAGAAGGCTCTCGAAGAAAAATCAGCAATTATTTCATTGTTGAACTTGACGACAGAAAAAGTACGCACTCGACGCGTCATGTTTTGCATTCTAAAAATACATCGATTTCAATTTCAGAACTAAAAATATTTGTAAGATTTCTTCTGATGGCCCGACTGCTATTTCTCTGCTCCCATTGCTGAAACATCATATTAAGCACAACATATACAAATTTCAAAGCTGTTGCACCCTTTTTATTGGAATGGGAAAGGATTTTGTAAAGTATATAAGAAACCCCCACCTATTGGCAAAGGCTCATATATATCTTAGTTTCATAAACTCATTTTGTTGCTTCGTGGATACTCTGTTCACTGGTGGGGAAATAACAAATTGGAGCAATAAAATGTAAGGAGCTCTTGAAATAAAAAATTGCAACATTTAAGGTGATGTATGTGAAATGCACTTTCAGTATTGGGAAAAAAAGTTTAGGTGAGGGAGGTGGCATTGCCTCACGTATTGAAGTTTTGTTTTATATTATAAGTATTGTTTCCCCAAAAGTTCCTCCTTTCAAGCCCCATGTTGTTATCATTTCAAGTATGAGCATTTACAGGGTGTGCAAAAAAAAAATCCTAAACAAAACTGTAAGATTGATTAGAATGAAGCCTCACCAGCAGTCACCACATTGACAGTAGGCCTACTTTTTTTTTTCATGGAACAAATCAGTCTATGGGGATGTGGTTTGCACAATTTTGAAAATAATCCAGTCAATGGTTTTAGGTCATTTTTCAGTTTTATCAGACCTTTGAGCCCATTTACTGGATTCTTTTCTTATTCATACAAGCCGCATCTATTTGGCTGACTTGGTACTTTTTAGACATTTGGGAGGTACTATGTAATTGATGGGGGTTTTTTTTCAAATTTGTACAGTTCTCGAGGGGGGAGGGGTTGCACATCCTGTTATTATGAGGTTATGTTGTCACTGCCACAAGACAAAGACAGCTCCAAAGATTTTAACTCACCGTGTGAAGTAAGGTCAATTGGAGTTTACTAATCTTTTTTTGTGACAGTGATGATATTGCAAGCCACAGTGCCGTATATAGGAGACATTTCTTGGTAAATGTGTGTTAAATGATTGAAAATAGTTACGCAATTTGTCAGTATGACCACAGTAATGTTGTACAGGAATCTCACATGTGAACAGTTTCAGACCAGAATGAGACTGCCAATGTTGATGTTTTCAGATGTTTGACTTTTTCTTGTTTTATTGACTCTGATTTGCACTTGTAGTCTTGTGATCAGATTCTCACAATGACAGTGGATTTATAGTACTGTTCTAAATTGTCAATTAACAAAAAAACTATGGAAGAAATAGTTGTTGAAAAAAGCTGTCTGGTTTTGACCTTTTTTTTTTTCAAGATTTTAGTGAAAAGGAGACATCCACTCAACATTTCTCACGGTGAATCTGGTCACAGTATAACGGAGTAGATAAAAAAGTTCAGTCATCTCTTCAAATTACATTAAAGTAAGTGCTTATAAGAAAGTTGGCAGTAAAATAAGTGCACGTATCCATTTTCTCAGGCTGAAGGGCTAGAACTTGGATGGTCACTGGATCGGAAAAGTAAAGTAAAAGTAAGGTATCCATTTTCTCATTGTGAACATGAAGGCAACCATACAAAATTATGTCAACCATAGGTACAAAATTGTTACTGAAGCTGTTCATATTATATAATTTGTTGTTTCAATGCATCAATGCATGTAAGGATGGAAAGCAGAAGCCTGGTTCATAAGATTTGAATGTTCATTTATCTTTTTGGCATTTGCCATATTTCACAGACTATCTTTGTTTTCCGGGAGGATGGCTTGTACTTGTTGTATAACTTTATTTACGATAATTTTTGTTGACCTGTACATGTACAAGAATTTAGTAAGCTCTACTGTGTGAAATCTTACAAAGTTCTATTCAACATTCTTCAAAAATAGAGGACATGTCTAGTAGGTTTTGTCACAGAAAATGCTCTTGATCAATAGATAGTGGTCTTTTAAAGATGAGAGGCCCCCAACTGGGTTGTTTAAAATGCAGTGTCCCGTTCTTACGGTTTTTACAACAATGTATACAAGAGGTAAAAGATCAATATTTTGTTATGAGTATGAGGGCAGCTCCCACATAAATCTTTGACGACACTCCCCAGGGGTGTTAACGAGGGGGCCAATGGCTCTACCTTTGAAATAACTGTATAAATGTATGTTAAAGTTAACGGTAAAAGATTCTCTATGCACTGTGCCTGCTAATTGACAAAGATAGTCAAAAATGACAAATCAAAAAGTTAGTACAGAGTAAGTAGTGCCTAGTAGCTTGTTGTTAAACTTGTGACTAAAAGATTTTGTGTGTATTGCGCTTACCTCTTGTCAAAAGATATTTAAGGGCAAATCATGTGGCGAATCAGATACATGTACTTTGTTACTCATTGCTGATGCCACATGAACCCTATAGATATTGCAGCAAAAACAACGCCCCACATGACTGTAACCAATGCAGGTAGTAGTGTGGACAGTCTAGTGATCAGATTGTTGAACTTGCAATCGTAAGGCTGTGGGTTGGCTTCAGGTTCTGATGTTGTGTTCTTGGGAAGGACACTTAACTTTACACCAACTTTTCACTGGCATCTGCAGTGTGAGGGTAATGGCTGTTGCACTGAAAAGACCTAGTTCAATTCGTGTTTGGCAAGAATTTTTATTGAATATTATTTGTGTTTCTATCGGGACATTGTATCCCTCAGCCCAGATCGGCCCAGAAAGATTAAAAATATTTTGAATTTCGTAGGATCTGTTATGTTGTAAAGGGCATTACCTATACTTTCAGGCAGGCAAGACTTGCCACATTTTTATACTATTCCTTGTAGGATTTGGCTTGCATTTTTCTCAGTTTACTCTTTCAATGCCAGTTTTTTTTTTTTTTTTTTTTTTTTTTTTTTTTTTTTTTTTTTTTTTCAAATTTCCTGTAAAAGATAGCTCTGTACTTTGTTTCTACCTTGCCAGTCAGTGGCAATCAGGGCTGGTGTTCTGTTTGTATACCTTTGTCTTTTTCACTGGATAACATAGTTTTATGTAAAAAATTACAACTAATTACCAGTAATGACTACATATATATATGTATCTTTTCAGAAGCAGTATTAAATTATGTCCAGTGAATTTATCAAGTACAGCTTTCATATGTTTGTTAAAATGTATCGTTATTTCCATTACAGTGGGTGCTCCCTGATTGTTCATACTTTGATCATGTTATACACACTGCCCCCACACGGGGGGAGGGGTTCAGGGGTGGGGGGGGGGGGGGCATGTCTGAGAACGTGTGGTTGTTGTTGACCTAACTACTTCTGACTGCATAGATTCCTTGCTATCGGTGAGTGATCGATGAGTGCTCTACTCTGGTGTAATTTGTTCCTTCTTTCATATCAAACATTTATGACCCTTATCTCTCCTGTATCTGTTCTGTTCTTTTGACATTATGTATGCTACTCTCCGGTACGGTAACACTTTTAATGTTT